GGCAGCTTTCAACTCCTCTCCAGGATCCATGAAATGGTTGGCTTGCTGATCTTTATGCTTGGTTAGTACCGTTTGTTTCCGGTTTTCGCAAGGTGTGTCCAATCCATCTCCATTTTCTCTTTCAGATTTACATAAACTAACGTGTTTGTTTATTTCTAGCGTCATTTTCAATTGCGAAGCACGCAAAGACGTGACGTAAATCACTTGTGTTGATGGAGAACAATTCCTGGAAACTATATGGTCGCTTTTAAGGACAAACAGGCTAACCTAGATTACGGTGGTTTCTAGAAATCTTGATCTACGCCTAAAGTGGGCATTTCCCTACCTATAGGAGAAGTTTGGTTTCATTGGTGTGTATATTTGTTTGGTTATAGAGAAAACTCTCCTCGTTTTTTAATGAAACTGAACAAGGGGCAAAAACTTTAGCTTCGATTTTCTAAAAACAGCATTTTTCGGTATAGCCCACTTGTCCTTAAAAGCGACCTTTTTTGGCACTGAGAGAACAGCGTCACGACTTGTCATCAAAACTCTGAGATAGGATTCCAAACTGATGACGTGTTCTGGGCAAAGCGACTTTGTTTGTTTGTTTTAGTAGAGGTTTTACGGCGCTCGCAACTGCATAAGGTCATATGAGTGCCAGAAGATTAGAGGTGTTACAAGAGAGTAACAAACATACAAAAGAAGGAGGGGAGATAAGGACGATAGATGTTTGATAGGAAAGAAGAAGTGACTTTCTTACCAGGACGTCAAGTGGCATGACTGAGTCAACGAAGAACACGACGTTTGAGTTTGTTTTGTTTTAGAAAAGTTTTTGTTTAATTAAGGTTTTACAGCGCTCGCAACTGCATAAGGTCATTTGAGCGCCAAGGAGTGGAAGTCAACAGAGAAGTCCAAACAGGGAATCAGGCTTACTCTGCTTACCTCTCTAGCTTCAACAGCACAAAGTCTGCTTGCGACTATCAAGTTTTTTAGTTTTAGTTTTAGTAACAATTTTACGGCACTTGCAACACAATAAGGTCATATAAGTGCTGAGGATTAGGGGTGTTACAAGAGAGTAACAACACAAATGGAAGGAGGGGAGATAAAGATGATGGAAAGATATTTGATAGGAAAGAAGAAGCAGACCACACCAAAGAACCCGCCAACCACCCACACAGATAGGTTTAATAGATGCTCTAAGTAACCATACATATGAACATGTTTGTTTTAGTTTTAGTACGAGTTTCGAGGTACTTCCAACCCCCCGCTGGGCTGTTTAAGACAACAGACCTACGATTGCAACGTCCATCCCAGAAAGGAGGACCAAGCAAAATGGATGGAAAGCTCCAAAAACTCCCCAAAACAACCCACATTCACAACATCCCGTTTGGGATTCGAACCAGGACCATCAGCTCCATAGTCCAGTCAGACAACGCGTGTCTAAAACACATGGTCATTTTTAGACAAATTTCGAAGAAATTTAGAACAAACAGAGTTCCACCAAAGGGACGCCAAAATGCACAATATGAGGAAAATCAACACCCTCTACCAATGAGCACGCGCACACACACGCACACGCGCGCACACACACACACACGAACACACACACACACAAACACACACATACGCTCACGCACACACACTAAAAACAAACAAACAACAAAAAACCCGTGCCTGAAGGTGCTGTAATTAATTATTGTGATATCCCATAGCAGCAGCATGATGTCACCAGCTAGACAGGGAAAGACGTAACCCAAGACAAGAACAAACAAGATAAAGCAACATACCCCACCACTCCCGGGCTAACAGAAGACAGAGAAAGCAATAAACAACTCGTCACGCGCTTGTCAAATCACTGGTGTGGTGTAATTGTAATAAAGATAACAATACTGTGGGACTCTCAAAGATTCTTTGCTACACGATACACGATATTTGGGTCACTGTCGTATTGTGCCAAAAGCTAGCTGACAAATTGGGTAAACAGACGTGCCATAAATGTTCGATTTTATGCAAAAGGGGACTATCCCGAAAAATGCTGTTTTGAGAAAATCGAAAACCCTTGTTCAGTTTCTTTGAAAGACTAGGAGAGTTTTCTCTATAACCAAACAAAAAAATATACATACCAATGAAACCAAATTTCTCCTATAGGTAGGACAATGTCCACTTTTGGTGTAGGTCAAGATTTCTGGAAACCAGATCATAAGAGAGTGACAAACATACAAAAGAAGTAGAGGAAAAATGACAATAGTAAGGATCAGGAAAGAAAAGGCAGCAGTTCCCTGTTGTAGATCAGGCACAGTTATGAGCGTTACATGAGTCAGCCCATTTACAATTCTACTATGCTTGAACGACAAATGTCCCCCCTTTGGGAATGGCCTAAAGACACTACAGTCAGTGGCACTGCCCCGGGGGGGGGGGGGGGGGGGGGGGTGCGACAGCTGTTTGATAGGAAAGAAGGAGCAAACTACGCCAGAGCACCCCGCTAATCATCCACTGGTATAAAATTCCTTCAATTGTTCAAACATA